GTTTGTCAGTTGTTTTACACATACATCACAGTCTCAGCCAGGGAGCAGGGGCACGATCACATTTCATTTGATATATTGTTAGTGATGCAAATGTTATTGTGCTGGCAGAAAATGAGTCAGTTATCATGTCATGTCTGTAACTAAGTAATCACTTGCGAACATGCCAGATAGACAGACAGACAGACAGACAGATATGTCTGGAGTTATCCGACGGATGAAATGCTCTTTAACAAACTCTGTTTTATCTCCCCTTTCCATGTTGTGAAAAATACATGTTATGTAATTTTTAGAATGACAGCTTCTTTGAATCACTCTGGACTCTACATCACAATTATAACTTGTCATGAGTGAGTCCTCCTCAAACAGGCCTACAATAAACTGTCACTTTTTTTTATTGTTTGCATGTTATTTGCAGAGCTTTGTATAAACAGTCTGTGGTGCAGAGTGATGTTAGAAAACTTGCATGTGTTGCTTATATGTAGGTTTGAATGATTGACGATATCAGAGGTCTGTTGAGCAAACAAACTGGACCAACATGCTTTTACTTTAAAGACAAAGTGCCAAACGAGAAGTGATTCTATGAATGTTATTGACATGACGGAGATTAGCAACCAATCACATTTTATCACAAGAGAAGATTTGGGAAGATTCATTGTAGAGTAAGATGTTGCACTTTTTGTTGCTTACTTATTTTAATGTACAGGAGAAAGCAGGGCGTCATTTAGGCTCAGCTCTCTTTCTTTTTATTTTAAATGTTGGCCTTCAAACAAAAGAAAAACAAAAAAAAAAGTTCAGCTGTCTCATTAATGATTTGTATTTTTCAACAGCTTTCACATTCGTCATGAATAATATTTAATCCCTCATCTGACATTTCTGCAACTGCAGCCGTCTCTCACTCTTATGACATGTCAATAGCTTTAACCTCCTACTAAACAGGCACTTCAGTGGCTGTCAGTTGTCAGGTCAAAGCATTTCAACTGCTTTCCTCTGTCGTTCTCAACATTGCAACTTCTTTTATCCCGTACTTTTAATGAAAGTTAGTCTGTTTTAAATGAATACACCTCAGACGACAGTACACCTTTTTCAGCTCTTCCACCTCAACTGAAAATTAAATATCAGTTACACATAGTATCTATTGTCTGTCCTGAGAGAGGTATCCCTCACATGTGACTCTAAAAAAAGTTATTTTGGGTACTTGAATATGGGGTATCCCAAAAAAATGTGATGGATTGATTGAATATTTCAGGAGAAGCTGGAATGTGACATATTCACTATGCTCTTGTGTGATGTTGGTCATTGGGCCTCATGCAAGAACATTTTCACATTCTTATCCTCAATTTCTCTTGCTTTGTTGCCATTGTTCACACGAACATGACATATTAGATTTGATAATGCATCTTTAGAAAGGTGTGTCAATGATGTGCATAAACATAAGGAATGCTGCCTTCGAAGATAAATTAACATACTTAACATCCCACTCATACCACATAATGCTACACTAGCTGCCCCATGTCAGAAGTGTTCATTCATGAAAATGTCAAGAAAGGGTAAAAAGAAGAAAATTTTTGAGATTAAAGTCATGATTTCAGATATCCAGAAAGTGTCAGCATTGGAAATAAAGAGACCAAGAAAAGCATTTTTTTTTTGTGCAATTTTCATAAACTGTTATGTATTAATGCACATCGGCTTCTCCAGCTAATTCAGGGTTAAAAACCCTACAACCTGCACTAGTCTAGATTAGTAATTCAACTCCCGTCAGTTAATTTATATATATTAATGTTAGTGTTTTAAAATCATAGTAAAAGAAAAACAAAACTAGTATGAATAAAAATAAGCTGTGCAATCAAAAGTAATGCTAAAGACAAATCGGCTAAAAGACACAAGAAATATAACTCTTGAAGTCACTACAATGAGATTTTAACTGGTTATGAATCAGTCTCAATTTAAATTTGCTGCTGCTTTATGACCTAAAACAGTTAATGAGAAAATCAGGAAGAAAATTTCGATTTTCTGTAAACTATTAGCCCAAGCAGACATAACAAGGGACTCTAAGAAGAGCAGAGGAGGAAGTGTGTGTGTCTGTGTGAACAACAGCTGGTGCACAGCCTCAGACAACGTTTCCAAACACTGATGCCCAGACCGAGAGCTCCTCCCAGTAAGGTGCAGACCGTTCTTTCTTTCAAGGAAATTCATGATAATAACAGTTATGGCGGTATACATTCCCCCACAAGCTTAGGCTCAGGTAGCTCTTGAAAAGCTGCATGACGTCATCAACAAACAGCTGAAGGCTCACCAAGAATGTGTGACTATCGTAGCAGGGGACTTCAATCATGCAGATCTCAAACTGGTCATGCCCAAAAGTCAAAACAATGTGAATTTCCCAACCAGAGAAAACGATAACCATCATATAGGAACACAAGAGATACATTACCTCATCGCTATGCAGCCTTTGTCTTTTTTTCACGTCTTCCAAATTAAATGCACATGCTGGCTAGACCAAAGTTTTTACGACAGCAGACATTGGAAACACTACCGCTTTTGTCCACAGAGGTGCCAAAAATAAAAAAAAGAGAAAAAACCCTTTTAGGGTTGTTCAATCCAATCACACTGCACCCAATAATACAGTTTAAGTCTAATATCTAAATATCAATGGATTACTGGGAAACTGGTGAGAACCTCAGAGAATACCGAATCTCAGAATGTTAGAGAGTGGGAATAAAATCCTGCATCCTCGATATTTTCTCAATCCATACCCAAATTGAATGGGTTATTTGGTCCCTATTCCATCCTTCCTGCAAATGTTGTGTAAATCCTAGCCTTTGTGTATGTAATCCTGTTGATCAACCAACCAACCAACCAAACAATGGACAGGGGTTAAAACATACCTGGAGGTTATTAAATAAAAATAGACATTAACAGAATCATTCTGAATGAAAAGCAAGATTCAAAAGATAGGACTTTAAAATATTTATAACATTTTTAATTTCAAGAGTGTGACAGGAATTGACGTGGAACAGGAGACTGTTCCAAATATTGTGGGCAGAAACGGATAAAACAGGATCCCCTTTAAGATTTAAGACTCGAAAACCAAGTCAGACCCGCCAGTCAGATCAGCAAGTTAACTTTGTGTCAGCGGGCTGATAAAGTGATATCGCATTAAAGGTTTGGCAGTAGTCAGTGGGACAAACAGGTTCATTTAAACTACTCAAAGATATCTTCTGCCATGTTCGGTTTTGAGTCAATGGTCACAGTGAAGCTAGATGGATGTTGTTTCCCACCTTCAGAAAGAGTAGACTGTGTGGACTGAGAGACTGTGACTGACAATCGAACAAATTGAGTTCCAAATGGCATTACAACATCAATGAGCTTTCATGGGTCTTGCTCTCTGGAGCAATAGTTCTTGAGTGCTTCAACTTAAGCAGTAATTCCGACGAAAGAAATAAAGCTATACTCATTAGTAGGACTGGGGATTTGTTAAAGGAAAATTACACAGATGTGTAGAAAGCTGATTTATTTTCTCACATGTAACCAGTTTAACAAGTTAAATAAGTGCTCTTGTTACAAGCCTTAAGGTGTGATCAGAGGATTCCAGGCCTGTTGGGTATAAGTAGGTAGTTACTTTGTGTTGCTAAGGTTGTGTGAGGGTTGGTGGCTGGGCTGAACTCCCATCAGCAGTAGCTTTCAGTGCTGCTCTCTCACATTTCGACTGCTTAAAGACATTGGCTCTGGTAATACTGAGCAATTGTGATCTTGGAGCCGCTGGTGATGAAGGAAATCTTGTAGCGGTGGATGTCATTATGTGTGAGATCCCTGGTGGCTGCAGTCTGAAGGACAACTGTGTCATGTGGTCGGCAAGTCATGAAGCTGTTGGCAGCAAAGTGCAGCAGCTGTCACTTATTGACATTGCACTGATTTTGGTAACACAGACAATTATATGCCGGCTGAAGATGAAGCACTGCCACTGCAGACTACATTTCATGATCTCAGCGTTTTCAAGCATGTTTGGGAAACATCCAAAGAAAATTGACTTCAACATGCATATGAGACTGCCACAGCATGAGATGGATAGATGGGTGAAAGCAGGACATCACTGTACTGTTCCTGTTTTATACCAACAGTCTGTCAGTAATTGGTTTCTACTAAGCCTGGCCTGAGTGACTCAGGGGGTTGAGAGGTTTGTGTACTAACCAGAAGGTTGGGGGTTCCCCGGGTCCTCCAGACTACACACCGAAGTGTCTTTGGGCAAGACACTGTGCTGGTGTATGAATGGTGTGCTACAGAAAAAGTGCTGTGTAAAGAAGTGCTGTTTGAAATATGTGTGTAAATGGGTGACTGTGACTTGTACTGTAAAGTAGTGGTCGATAAGACTTAAGTCATTTGAATACTATTAGAGCGATATACTGTATGTACCATCCATTTAAGATCACTTGTCCCAAACCTTGAACAAGGATTTTTTATGTCTAAACCTAAGCACATCGTCAAGTCTTTTGAACCATGAAGAGCCGCAGAGCTCCGCTGTTGTCCAATAACACCAATTAGCCACACTGTTGCAGTGGATGAGATGTTCTTTCAATACTATGATGCTACGGAATTATTCCTCCACTAAAAATACTTCCCAACCCATCCACCATTTCTCTCTGGCTGAGTAACTTGACAAACACTACAGTGACCAGCTGTTTAAGAAAAAGACTGCTGTTGATTTTCTAAAGAATTAGACCACATACAATATATTCTTATGAAATAGCATAGAGGCAATCATACAAAATACTACAGGAAAGAAGAGAGGCCTGATTTTTGGTTTTTGAGGTTTAACCCTTTAGTATGCGCTGGTGCAATTCGTAGCTTTGTATATCACCAGCTTGATTGATGTTATGTTTTAGATACGATCAGCATGTATAAAAGCTCCAACTCCTGACAATCAGTCCTCTTAGAAAGTGTGGATCATGAGAGAGCGATCATCTGAATACTTTATCTGTGTCTCTGGCCCTTGTTCCTACCAGATCACAATCACAGAGACAGTGCTGTTCCTGGTCCAGTACACATCCAAAGAGTTTGATCGCTCAGAGAAGACGGTGGCCACGGGGGACTGCTGTTACCTCAACCCATTAGTGCGCAGGACCTTCCGCTTCCTCGGTAAGTCTCAGGCTTCTGTATTGTCTGCGATTACTGCAAACTGCATCTGTTTCGTCATTTGTTTTCACAGTTTTTGGACACAATAGTTGAGTTCAACTGAAACATTTTTCTGAATGTCTACACTCATGGATAAACCACTCAACCACCTTTCAAAAACTACGTGGGATGAGAACAATTTCCGATGATTCTCAGACTGGTTTTCCTCCCACGGTCTTGCAGGTTTATTCATGACCTTACTTGCTGAGTTATCATGGAGTCTGACTGTGTCTCTGATCCGACCAGTCAGCAGATATGCATCATTACCTGAAAGGCAGCAGAAACCTGTGTTCTATGGTGATAGGGTTATTTCTACGGCCTTCTGTCCTTTTTGGATAATTTATTCACTTTGCTATCATGTATTTACTAACTATATACAGTATATTTACTTTTTCATTATGCCACACTTTATTTACTGTGTTCTTGATTTATTGCATTACTGCAACCTAACTGCTCTCAGTTCTAATTTAAAAGTAGGTCTTAAGTTGCATGTAAATTAAAACTCTCAGCCTTTTAGAATTATCTGTCACAGTTTCCTGACCAGTTTACTTTCACAAGACATGTTGTATCATTTCTCGATCCATCTTCATCACTGTCAGCTATGTAGTGGCACAGCTTATGTCACTTGACACTGTTGAAATATGATGAGGTTTTCCACTGTTTTCCAAAATGCTGACTTTAAGCACTTCTTTTTAATTTGGGTGACATTTTTGTGAATTAAATCGGCTTTAATGGGGAAACTCAAGCGTCCCTATAAAGCAATTTAGTGGAATCTGTGATGTTAATGATTCAATCTCTTGAACCCACACCTTTTCATGTAAACTGGTATCAGCTGACATAAGCAATTAATAAGTGGACGAAATTAAGAAGTTCTGCTGAATAATGATGATTCATTTTGCTCCTATTTCCTATACCATTCGTGGCAATAGTTTAAAAGTCACACATGTCCATAATTTGACTTGGCAAGCATGTTCTTCCCACTGTCTAGAAATAAAGCCAAAATATTCCAGATACAAACACGACCATTTGGAGCCGAAGACGTCATGTGGAACCAGAGTCTGCTCAGTAGCCGTCAGGGATAGATCTGTGGTAGCGATGTGCCGCTGATCCATGCGTTAAATTCAGTCCGTCTCAGCTGTCAATCGTGACACTTCATGCCATTTTACAGCATGAAAACCAAACTTGCCTGATGAATGCAACAGTTGAACATACATCAGTGTAATAAAAACTAACATTCATTTGATGTGTATTTTTTCTTTTTCGTTTGGTCCATTACCATCCACAGACACGGAGCGGGAAGGGTTTATGATGTATACCACAGGTAGCCACCAGGGGGCAATTGAGATCCCTTGCCTTCATTTTTAGGGAGTCTTCCTAATGCACATCTTTATATAAAGTATATGATCTACCAATTACTCATCATGAAGAGTCCCTGAATACGCCTGTAAATATCAGAGGATGTTGATAAACCATGGTGCTTTTTAAACAAACATATTCATATGCATAATGCAGGCACATGTGCTCGGTCCAGCAGGCACAACAGCAGAACAAACTCACACAGCCTCTCAGTGTGTCAGACCCTGTAACACAATATCAGCCTCTCCTCGTCCTCTCTCATCCCGAAGTGAGCCGAGCAGATAAAGCTGTGGAAGAGGATTATTACCTAGATCCCTGAGGGGGAATCCACTTGGTGGCCTGGCCTTACCCTCGCATTTACACATCCAGCATGTCGTTCCCGCTGCTCGTTAATGTTCGCAGGCCTCTCATTCCAGGCTAAAGCTCCTTTCATCCATAAGAGACTAGAATTGGCTATCATGTCTTAAACACTGGTACACTGTCATATCTGAATACGGCTTATGTCTCAGTGTTAATTGATGTCAGTTTTAAAGAGGCGTCTTCTCTTTCCTGTAAAGCAGAAGGAAGTAGGATAGACGACTTTACCTGTTTCATTTGCATCTTTATTTCCTCAACAGTGATGGAGAACCACAGTAAGATTAAGATAAGATAAAATGTACTGTACCTTTATTGATGCTCCCTAGAGGAAATTCATAATCCATCCTTTCCTGCTAAAGGAAACATTAATTAAAGAAAAGTGGTCAGAGTCACATAAAGTAGAGTTTCTTATCTCATAAGAAACCACCCTTATTATTTCAATCTACCTTTCAGTTCACCTCTGTGGTCAATTCAAGTGTGTAGTTAGTGAAAGAATGAGATTGCTCAACCAAAGTGAGTTTCTTCCTTAAGGTGGCTGGGCTCCAGTGGATATTTAACTTATTCCCAGGTTATTCAGGACACATGTATGTAAGTGGCTTCTGTCTCTTACCTGCCTCTTCGGACCCGTTGATACTCAAGCAAAGGAAAGTATAGTTAAAGAGGAAAGGTGCAACCCGACTTATTACAGGTTACATGGTTTGTGACCCTTAGGCTACTGTCCAACATTTATCACAGCAGCATGCAATCTCACTGTGCAATAAGGGATTCTTAGCTACATTTTTGGTGCCAAAGGTTCACCGATTTGTATGTAACCTGTCTGATTTTTAGTCTTCTCATATTTCACAGAAAAAAATGTGTTGTTGTGATGGTGCTAATCTGAGCAATTATGTTGATGAGTAAAATCTCATTTTAACCAACAGGAATAATGCACAAAGCCGTATTTATAAGATTAAAGCTTTTGAATCCTTTAAAAGTATTTTTAGATTAGGCGCTGATGTCATACCTTTCCCATCTGCGGCATTTAACCTCAGAATATGTTCTGCGTGCTCTATTTTTGAGATGCAGCTAGTTGTCTTTTTAATGTTGGGGGAGGGGGGTGCAGAGAAGTGCTTCTGTCTTAAATAAGTGCTCACTGAAGCAGACTGCATAAGAGGTGCAGGATCTGCCTCTCTTTACTAACATCAGCTAATGGGTCCTTGGTGAGCTGTCAGTGCCTCTTTACAGCAGCATTAGCAACAGCGGTTATGCCAAATTACAAAGCACTATTTAACATACACAATCTGGAAATCCAATTACATACAGTATGTCTGCCTGTGTGTTTTATGGTGCATTTGATCCATGGCTATTGATAACTACTTCTGGCAGGCTTGTTGGCACAGTAAGCAGATGAATTAATCCAGCAGCGACTCTGCTGCGCTATGTGCAGCAATCGGTTCTCCTTGTGCTGCCAAGCTCCCTTGTGAGGCTGAGGGCTGATACTTGCTTCTCTAGGAGCCTTGGAGCCAGGCTTCCTGAGTTGATTTGACTTATATGTGGAGGGATTTGTGTGTGCGTGTGGGATCAGAGGGTATTATTTTAAAGGTCTTAGAGCGGGAGGATGGTACAGAAATACAGTAAAAGGAGTATAGGACTCTGCAGGGCCCATCTGCCGGCAAAGTTATTTTGAACCTGCCAGCTCCCCCTGTACAGCAGAATGATGGAATGAGGCACCTAAGGGATTCAATGTAAACCTGTTTGTTTATTCAGGGATGATCCCCTAAACCTGAAAAAGTGTAAGATGCAGAGAATTAGGATTTAAAAAACTTGAATACATGATTTTAAAATGTCCCATAGGCTCAGAGTTTGGTTGACATCTGATAACGAGACAGACAACATTATTTTTGCATGCGTTTAATCGTCTTTAAAGCCTTTGAATTTATTTGAAAGCCTTTGAGCCCAGTATGGATGCATCTATGTAGATCCTCAACATTCTAGCAGGGATATACAATTGAAAGTCAGAGATAATCCAGAGAGTTCAGATAGAGAACATATTTCCTATATATTCTCATCATTAAGTCTAACAAGCATTATGAATCAGTGCAATATCAAATCAAATCAAATCATATGTATTTATATAGCACGGTATCACAAGAAACAGTTGTCTCAGTGTGCTGTACAAAAGTCCAAGATCTTAAGAAAAAGAAAATCCAACTTGTTCCACACCGAGCAAGCATGAGCAACAGCAGGGAAGAAAAACTCCCAGGTGGAAGAAACCTCCGGCAGAACTAGGCTCGGTGTGGACGGCCTCTGCCAGGACCGGTTGGGGTGATGGAGAAAGAACAAATAATATAGGGGAACTAAACGAAATAAAGGGGGAGGATGGAGTCACAGTCTCAGGTCATGGGCTTGAATCCAGCCCGGGAATCTCCATGTGGACGTTGGCATGGTCCCCCCTGGCACTCCTGCCTCCCTCATGGTCAAACATGCACAGTAGGTGGACCCATGGCTCTAAAGGTGAGAGGTCCTCAGGTGAGAGTGCTGGTGGTTGCGTGACCCTCCATGCCAGCCCTGCGACAGACTATATGATTAATAACAATGCCTGTGTGTAGTCCCTAACCCCCGTCACTCTTAATTAGTTCTAATGTTGAAAACAGAAAAAATTGAAATAACCTTTTAGGAAATAAGATTAAACTAAATGACCATTACCAAAATTAGAAAAGCAAGTAATAACCTTAATTCTCACTCCCTTAACCAAAACCTTCTACATAGCAAACTCAAAACAAATGTTTAGTTTCCTATCAACACCCATGTGGGCTCACACACCTAAATGAAAAGAATGCAGGTCTGAGTGCCGTTGGGCGAAGTGTGGCCAATTGAATCCTTATTCTGCAGTAGTCCTGGTCCTGGAGAAAAAGTATGAATGAAAGAAAAAGATGACGATGGAACCAGACAGCAGCAGCAGTGACAAAATCCTCATCAGAAATGCCAGAACAGTCCTCGGAGAAAGACAGGAGTCCTCTCGTATGGTGACATCATCTTTAGCATGAGTTGGCACAAGCACATTAGCACAACAGTTTGCTTTAATCCCTGCGATTAGGCAAGAAAAGTGTGTTATGTCCACAGCTAGTTGTCTTCTGATACTCAAACACTCACTGGCTATTTACAGTAGCGTATCTCAGCATTTCTTTGGCTCTTTATTTCTTTCTTTTCTCTCGTATCTCTATGTTTCTCTGCATTTATCTTTGTCTCCACTCTTATTGTTATTGACCCCA